GGTTTCTCTAGCGTTTTCATTAATGCTCTCCTCCCCTAGGCACTCGCGTGGTACCACAGCCATCTCCATGGGTTCCCTGTCCTGATCCTGGTACCCATACGTTTGTTAAGGGGTAGTGCGGAAGGGAAGACCACGTTGCTGGTCATTTGACCGACACCAGAGCTACTAGTGAATAGGGCTTTACGGGCGGAACTTAGACCAATCATTTTTTTTAGAATGGGTTTCTCTAGCATTAGAGCGACAGCTCACCTTGCTAAGTTCTGACCGTCTGAGTGCTCAGCAACGAACCTTGATCCTCGGGCAGATGGGCCAGTTCCTGTTGGCGCAGAGAGTGGCTTTTTGCGATATCCTGCAAATCCATACTGCCCTCTTGGCAAGAGCAGTTTCGGCTGAGCGTGAGGCAGTTCTTGGTCTGTGCGCCTATCCTACTCCAGCGGGAGACCAGAGGCCCCCAAAGGCTCTTTGAAGGTTTCGTCGGCTGCCTGGACATGGATGGTGGTACGACTCTGGGTCTCTCTTTCTGGGGTCCCCGGGCTCAGTCTCCCCCTCTTCGTCCTCCCATTCTGGAGGATGGAGTTCGGGAAGCACTAGCTTCGAACCCCTGTCCGCTCCTTCCTGTGGGATCACACCTTATGCAGCACATACCAGCTTGGCGCAAGAGGGTTTCCGATCCCTGGATGCTCGAAGTAGTGTCACATGGGTATCGGATTCCTAATCGGTCTCCTTCTCCTCTGACTTCTCACTCTCCCTCCGGTCTTTTGCCGAGGGACGGGGTCAAGGCGAAGGAGATCCGACAGGAAGTAGCAAGATTTCTGGAGAAAAGGGTGATACACCTAGTGGGGAACCCCGGTGTATCACCAGGGTTCTATTCCCGCATCTTCCTCATTCCCAAAAGTTCGTGGGGTGGCATGCAGTCCCAGACCTCAGTCAGCTGAACGGGTTTGTGAAACTCTAATGCTTCCGGATGGAAAACACCGGCTTTGGTACTTCTGTCAGTGCACTCGGACGATTGGTTGGCGTCGCTGGATTTGAGCGACGCTTACCGTATATCTCAGATTCCCAATAGAGGGCAAAGTCTATGAGTTTACCGCCCTCCCCTTCGGTCTGTGCACGGCACCGTATGTTGTTACGAACGGGAATACGAGATAGTCTCCCGCGAACCTGGCCACCAATATCTCGCACTCCAGAATGCAGCACTAAAGGTCAAACAAAGGCACACAGTCAGGATATGTCCAATAATACTAATTTAATAATACAATAAGCATAAACCAGTAGCAGGAGTAATATAAATCACAAACCGGTCAACAATATACATCACAATAAATATAACATTAATGATAATAGCCCAGCTCGGAATTGCCTACCCTACCTAAGTGCAGAACTCGTACTGCGTAGTTTCAGCGATAGTACAGTTAATCACAGCAACGTTGACAGCGATATCAGTTCTACAGCTCCAAACTACGAAGTCTCGGGGAATTCAAATTACACGACACTGACCGTAATGTTACGCGACTTCCATACCGTCCGTGTAGAGAAAAGACCAAGATCAGCAAACCACGCTTTCTGGCGAAACACAGGTCTTTGAATAAAGTTGGTTTTACAGTGCAGAACCACAGCAGGCTGTTTTGCATCTATCAGTCCCACATGCCGAATTGGTCAGGCATTATCTTGAGACGTACGTTGGCTGCCACGTTGACACTGCACCGGAGCTGAGCTGAACTGCACTGCACTGGTCGGGAGCTGGGTGACAACTGACTCTCTCGTGTTCACGTTCGTCTTGCACAAGCACGAACAAAAGAATATTAATTAGCAATGACAATACATGCTGTCTATTCTAATTCCGCAGCTGGGCAAGCCTCACTAGCTAATTGGGCATTATCAAAATACATTTATTTTACAGCAAAAATAGAATATCATAACAATGTCCTCACCAGAGTGCTAAGACATCTGCTACACCAGTCGTCTGTGAACCAATACCCAACGACTGGTTAATACACAACCGAGACAGGGAGGTCTTAGTGGAGCACATGCGGTTGACGCAGGCGCTCCTGCACGAGTTGGGCTTTTTAATAAATATTCCCAAGTCCAACCCAATACCGTCCCACAGCCTAGTTTTTCTGGGTATGCAGTACGACACGGAGCCAGGGTGTGTTCGCCCCTCTCAGGAGTGATGTGGTTCTCAGGTCCAGGGGATGTGGCCGCCCGCGTATTGGGAGTTGCAGACCGTCCTACTGTCTTTGAAACATTTTCAGGAAGTCGCATACCACCACAAAGTCTTGCTTCGGACAGACAACAGCTCAGTAGTGTCGTACATCAACAAGGAGGGGGGACACGTTCTCCCACGTTGTCGAAGCTAGTGGAGGAGATTCCTCTTTGGTGCCTGGAGAACCAAGTGGAGCTATCGGCTCACCACCTTTTGGGGATACGCAACAGCGCCGTGGACGCCCTCTAGAGACATATTCGGTTCCAGAACACAGAGTGACAGATCCCCCAATGGGTGGCGGACTGGCTTTTTCGTCTCTGGGACGGGCCCGGATAGATCTGTTTGCCAATCACCAGAATGCCAAGCTCCCGATGTACGTGTCACTCCTCCCGGAGACGAGCGCATTCGCCACTGACGCTCTATCGATCCCTTAAAGCCACATAGACACTTACGCATTTCAACTCTTCCATCTGATGCACCAAGTCTTGGAGAAGTTATGACTCAAGCCCACTTGTATTCTGATGTTGGTGGCGCCCAATTGGCCAGTGAAGATCTGGTTCCCATTGTTGCTGGAACTTCTAGTCGAGTTGCTCGTGCAGCTGCTGGATCTTCCGGATCTGTTGTCCCAGCCAGACGGCGCGCTACCAATGAGCCCAGCACTATTCCATCTTCACACGTGGAGGCTATTGATAAACTCGTTCAAGCGCAAGGTTTCTCTACAAAGTTGTCCAAGTTCCTCACTTCGGCATAGTCGGACGGCACCAGATGGTTGTACGAATCCAGATGGAAACTGTACTCTGATTGGTGTGACGGAAGGAAGATTGATCACATCTCAGTCCCTCTATTAGCGAGGAGACGATTTTTTCCTTTATTTGTTTAATCAAGGGAAATCTATATTGACAATTCTTGGATATCAGTCAGTTTTATTCCCAGTTTTATCAGAATCTGCTGGACTAAAACTGGCTTCGAGCTCTATTATGATTCACCTGTTTAAGTCTTTCCACTCGTAGAGGCCACGCGCCAAGGGGTTAACAAATCCTTCTGACTGGGACTTGTTATTAGTTCTCTCAGCGTAACAACGTTATGAGCCTATGGATAAGGCAGATATGAAGTATGTCACTATGAAAACAGTTTTTTTTGGCTCTGGTGTCTGGTAGGCGGCGCTCACAGATAGGGGCACTGTCCTTTAGTGAGAATGTGCCTCCTTTTTGAACTTGCAAGTTATTCTGAAGACTCGGTTGTCAAGAATTAAATCCCAGGGCACGACCCTGTGCCGATCGTCATCCCACGCCTCACTAACATTGTGGGTTACCAGGAACGTGTTATATGCCTGGTTCGAGCTCTGAGCTGGTACTGCGATCACACCAAGGTGTCTAGGGGCAGTGATAAGCGCATGTTTGTTTGTTATGGGCAGGGCAAACAGAGCCACCCTGCTTCAAATATCAATATTTGGATTGTTGATACGGTTTTGGAAACGTATAAGTTAACTGCTTCTTCATCGGTTTGTTTGAAAGCTACCAGGTGAAGGCATATGATGTGCACGGGGTAGCTAACTCATTGGCTTTGATGTCTGGGGCCTTGCTCGAGCAGGTGCTTCGAGCAGGGTTCTGGAGATCTCAGAATATCTTCATTAACTATTACCTGAGAGACCTCCAAGCGCTGCAAGAGGGTCTCTACAGGTTGGATACAGTGGTGACAGGTCAGACTGTGTTCGCTGATCCAGCCCACACCACCAAGGGGCCCTATG